AGACTACCCTTAGGTATCTTTGGTAGCACTTTTCACGTTCGTGTGCCATTTCTACGTAGTACACGTCACGTTCTTCGGCCCTTCTTTAATAGTACTCTTCATGAACAAAGCTCAGATATATCAATAGAAAGATCTTTTACTGATTGTCCCACCGAGAGTGCCATTATGTTTGGCTTGTAAAAGTGGTCGGTTCCGATGGAATCGAATGGGCGTGCCAGGAGCTGCAGTAGTTCCGAAGAAAGATCCAAATAATATTCCAGAAGGAAGATTGCGAGACCAGGCGACTGTGATGAGGTCTAGAATGAACACCTCGGGGTTCTTTTTGTCTTTGATAAAGGACTTCAGGATAGTTAACTGGTTTGGAAGAACTACGTTACTTATAAAAGTAAAGGAATTGACTGTAAAATTATCTAATGAAAAGTAAAGTGCAGGACTAAGACTAATCATATTGAAAGTGCATTGCAATGAAAAGAAAGATTGTATCGAAATGCTATGTTTGGCGTTGAGCAAGCCTTTTAAGTTATAATATCATGCCCTATTTATAGAATTTAGTAATGGTAGCTTGCATGTAACCGTTTGCTTCCTAGGCTGCCATGTGTCCCATGACTTTGCATGTAACCGCTTACTTCCTAGGCTGCCTTATGTCCCAAGACTTTCCACTGGAATGTCGTAGTACCTTTCTATTAGAATTGACTCACTTCCTAGGCTGCCATGTGTCCCATAACTTTGCATGTAACTACTCACTTCCTAGGCTGCCATGTGTCCCATGACTTTGCATGTAATTGCTTATAACCGCTCGCTTCCTAGGCTACCATGTGTCCCATGACTTTGCATGTAACCGCTCGCTTCCTAGGCTGCCATGTGTCCGATGACTTTGCATATAACCACTTGTAACCGCTTACTTCCTTGGCTGCCAAGTGTCCCAAGACTTTCCACTGGAACATCATAGTTCCTTTCTATTAGAATCGACCAGCTTCCTAGGCTGCCATGTGTCCCATGACTTTGTATGTAACCGCTTGCTTCCTTGGCTGTCATGTGTCTCAAGACTTTCCACTGGAACATCGTAGTACCTTTCTATTAGAATTGACCAGAGCAATCTTCCACTGGAAAATGGAAAAATAGGGTGTAAACAATAATAACTAAATCCTTACATAGACAGGCTTCGCGAAAGATGAACATGCCTTAGAGATAACTAAATCCTTTTAACAATAGACTGGAAGATCATGAATATGTACCCAAGTTGGAACTTTTTCTAAAATTTCCTTAACAAGATTTACATTCTTACTCCAACGTTTGAGAATGATTGGGCATCCCTCAAATGTATGGACTCTTGTAAGTACTTGTTGCAAATCATCTTTACTTGCGAAATGCACCATGAAAAAGCCCTCTTTCAGATAAACCAATATGAAATCCTTGGACTAGTGTTTTTCCACAAATTTTTTGAAGTGAGGATAGTAAGGTTTTTTTTACCCATAACGTACCTTACCAGCGAGTTTTCCCAGTATTCACATCAGCAACATCCCCAGTGGAAATAGATACATTGGAGTTTCGGCAATTGCTGTGATATTGTAGGTTAGTGAAACGTTTGTTGGTGAGTAACAAAAAAACTACTCCAAGTTGGTCAAGAAAGGGATTGATACAGGCTTATTGACTTTACGGGGGGGGGGGGGGGGGGGGGGGTGGCGGGCTATCCAGCTGACAAGGCACCTGTAGATAAAAGAAACCCTAGTTGCTGCTTAGAAACCCTAGTCGCTAAAAAGTGAACTTATTATTTTTTGATTTTATATTTTATTTTCTCGTATAAATCTTATGTAACTTTCAATGTGTGGGTGAATACAAGGAAAAAAGGGATTATTATTATTATTATTATTATTATTATTATATATTTCCTTTGTCCCAAAATAGTTGTCCACATTGGTATACCAATGTGGACATGTATTTTGGGAAGGAGGGAGTATATATATGAAACTTTAGAACCTTATTTACCATTTTATGAAGTCAAAATCGTGATATTTTGAAAAAATCAAGTTAACCAAAATGCTAGTGAGGACATAAAAAAACATTGTTCATTTGTCGAAACTATACTTACTATTTCCATATACCACTTTTGTGCATGTAGATACCACTCTTATGCATGCATGTAATATATATATATATATATATATATATATATATTGTGCAGGCAATGTCATTAAAATGGTCTATGCAAAAAAAGGTACATACATGCACAAAAAGTCGTACATCTGGCTATAAGAATAATATATACTTATATGTACAAAAGTGGTACAATGAAATACTAAGGGTAATTTAGACAAATGAATAGAGTTTTCTCATATCCACTCAGCATTTTGATCAATATAATTTTTTTTTTTTTTTAACTTGGGATCTATAAAATGATAAATAGTTCAAAATTTCATGTATATGTAATGAATTCAAAAAAATATATATATATTCTTTATAAATTATATTAAGAGTGATCTGACCAAGTCCATGGGGTGACGTCCTTGTGAGGTGGGACCCATTACATCAATGCCGTAATATTTCCTTTTCTAGATAATCATCAATTCCTGAACAATGAACATGACCTTGTGTGTATTACATAGTTAATACTACTTAAATGAAATGGACCGTCTAAGAAATTATATTAGCCCTTAGGCATGTCAATAAAAGCATAAGGAAGACATTTAAGGTTGGAAATGGGGTAATCGTTTTTTTTATTTATAAACCATTCTCCTTATACAGATGTGAGTGTCAGTTTAATTTAGAAGCTGTGCCGTTGAACTCAATAAACTAAATGGGGAATTGACCAAGTCATTCAAACATGGAATTCAACTAGGACCAATCCATTATGCTATTAAAAACCATTTAATTAATCTTTATAGTATTTTAAGTTTAGAATATTCTTTAAATATTTTTCATATAATTCATAATTCTATTTTTTTTTTCATTATTTTATTACTGTATTAAATTATTGTACTAACTTGCAAAAGAGATTGATAGGATCGCCGCCCATGCAAGTACAGATGAAGTAATGCAACACAGATGAGAATTGAGTATATATGTAATTATCACAAGGAAAAAGCTATGATGGATGACTATGAGGTCTTTAATAAGACATTCTTTGCGTTACAACTTATTGAGAGAATTGTGCTGTCATGGTCTTTTCCTTTCTTATGTTTGTTTTATTGACCTACTAAGTATACAAGCTCATGGGTTTGATTCATTAATATCATGTACCATGATTCATTATCTATATATAATAATAATTATTATTATTACATTGAAGGCAGTAATATACCCTTACAATATTACATTTACCTCTCCTAAAATTACTAAAAAAATGCACTATTATCCCCCAAAATTTATTTTTGCTCCCCTTTACCTTACATCCTAACTCCGTCCCTACTAATTTGGCTAATGGCCGAGTGCCAAACAAAATGTTCAAAATAATTAAATTTATTTTTAAATTATAAAAAATATTTATGAATAGGTGCCTGGATTATTATGAGTTCTCTTCGACGAGATATTGGTGGACCGGGCATAACAAATCATTATAACACTCAATTAATGAAAATATATGATCCCACCAACTTCTAAAAATTTATTTGAACAATATAGGGTAAATTTCACTTACATTCTTGAGATTTGTCAATATTCTACATAGACCTCTTTGGGTCAATAGGAGCTTAAATTTCAAATTTGGGATTTTTTTGATCCTATCCCGGCCCCCTTTGGCAAAAATTCAGTCAAAGGAGGAGTTTGCCCAAGCCCTTGCGAGCGCCGACCAATTTCCCTCGGGTTTCATAATTTCATTTACCTCCCTTGTAATTCCACTTATTTCTCATGTTAGCTAGGAAATACGGATACTTCTACGAGGGCGATATACGCGTATCAGATATGTGACGGATACCGATGCTCTTCGGATACTCGCGGATACATGTCCGATACTTCTTAAACGTATTCATAATTTTAAATTATATATTTTAATTTTTAACACGTATCCGATACATTTCAAATACTTCATAACACATTCTTAACCAGTTTTAATATTAAAATATAACTTTTTCAATAATAATAGCATAATATATTTATTAACATAGTATAGTATAAAAGAGAAAATAATACTTATACTTTGTGAATATTAATGATTGCATTTAGATTCATAATATTATAGAAGATTAATGTAAAAAATTGTATTTTTTTTTGTATATAAAAATGTATTTATTTATTATTATTATTTTTGCCGTACCCGAACATGTGTTTTTTTTTTTTTTTTTTGGTGTTAGATTTGTCGTATCGCCATGTTGGTATTGTATCTACACCTCATATATTTCCTAATCTGTCAGTGACTAGAAGGTCAAGTTTGCCCTTTTGATGCTTGAAATGATAACCAATATTTCATGAGTAAAACGATAAAGTAACACGTTATAAGAAAAGGTAAATGAGATTAGAAAACCTAAATAGAGACCTATGCAAAATATGGACAAATTTTAAAGAGGGGTAAGCCAAATTTATTCAATGAAACTTAAATAGGGCCATAGGGCCCTATGTAAAATATTGACAAATTTTAGAAACGGGTAAGCGAAATTTATCCAATAATATAATTCTATAGATTTTCATTGGTCTACGAGTTGCCTTAGACCGATGACTTGGTATGCTCGGTAATGAAGGATTCATTATAAGGTTCATGCTTCCCAGCACAAATACATATTCTGAAGTAATAATACAGAGACGTTAGTAAATTACTGTCAGCGAAAAAAAAAAAAAAAAAAATTTACTGTCACATAACACCCATTACCGTAAATCCATAACGTGTTTTCTCTCTCTTCTTACACGCGCCGTCGGGCGTCGACTACTACAGAGGGAAAAGTCAAGTAAAGCGCAAACAATTACCAGTACATTTCAAATTGTCAACACAAAACTCCATCATATTTAGGACCACAAGTAAATCATCCTCAAATGATGGGTCATTTCTGTAATCTACTACTGACTTAAAGCAGCAAGAATCAAAGTTTTATTTTATTATTTTTCTCTCTCTATTTTCTCTCTCATTGTCAACAATGAAAAAATACAGCCGTTGCAGAGCTATGGAGTCCCAAAGAATCAAAGCAAGACCAGACGGAATGAACTGAAGATTAGACTCCAGATTTTCTGAAACTCCTTTTAGTGTCTCTGGTACGCTCTGATCTTTTTTCTTTATCTGTTTTTGTAAACCATGTCGAAAGAGAGAGATCTTTCTGATGGTGTCTATGGAGGAGATAGCTCTCTGACCAAGCTCACAAACAACATTTCTGAGCAAAATCTGGAAAACCCAGATGATAATATAGGATTTTCCGATAAGGGTATCGATTTTATGAGGGATTCAGAGATGGGCCGTGATGGGTCGAAACCCTCAAAACCCGGGATTTCTGGCTCCCAGGAGCTTACCCTGAGCTATCTCTGTGAAAATTCCAAGTTGGGTTTTCCCGAGAAAGAGATTCCTGGGAAAATTTTACTGAATTCCTTTGAGAAAGTGAGTTACAAAGGAAAAGAAGTGGTTCCTGAGTATCAAAGTCAAGATAATAATAGGTGGGTAGAGAGAGACTTTTTACAATTGAATGAAATTAGGGGGAATTCATCGAAGCGAGAGATCAAGGACGAAGAAAATGAGGGAGAGAATAGAGACAAGAAGCCAAAACTAGAGACTCTTAATCTTTCTCTAGCTTTGCCTGATGTATCACTCTCTCTAGCTGCATCCAATCCGGTACAAAATGTGGATCCCCCGCCTCGCCTGAGGCCTAGTCGGAGTGTACAGTCTTTGGCACCATCAAATAATAACACCCAAACTACATACTCAAATGATTTCACGGCGGCTTCCCTGTCGTATTCATATTCACACCCATTTTCACATAATCCAAGTTGCTCACTCACCAGAAATTCGACTGAGAATTATGAGTATTCAGGGGGGAGCCAGAGGAGAGAGTGCGATCAAATTTGGAACTGTGGGGAGGGGACTAATGGATCAGTTCATAGTCGATTTAGGCCGATTGGAGACGGTGTTGCTTTGTCCAATCACGGTGGTGGAATTTTCCCATTGATGCAAGGTAATCGTCCCGTGAATAAGGATTCATGTAACAGTCTCCACCTAACAACAAGCTCAGATAACCATTCATTCTTCCCGTCTGAATTGCCTGCAAGGCCTAGGATGGACACTCAATCTGGCGATTCAAGAGGAAAGGGTTCTGAGCACATGAGAGGTTCGGATAATTTAGATGGAGGGAGAGCTCGTAAGCTGTCTAGACCGGAGAGGATTCTTCGAGAACTCGTTTCAGAGTCTATTCCTGTCATGGCTCAAATAGTTCAAGAGCTTCCTGATGAAACCTTGGAGTCCACAAAAGAATACTTGAAGAATCTGATTGCGGCACCTGAAAAGAAAGACGAATTAGTGGGCCTCCAGAAGAGACTCGAGAGAAGATCTGATCTTACCAATGAGACCCTCTCAAAGTCCCATAAAAACCAGCTGGAGATATTGGTTGCAATAAAAATGGGTCTTGGAAGCTTCTTATCTGCCAAAGTTCGCCTTTCCACAACTGAACTGGTGGAGATATTTTTACTTGATAGATGTCGAAATGTAAATTGCAAGAGATTATTACCTGTTGAAGACTGTGACTGCAAGATTTGCTCAACAAAAAAGGGATTTTGCAGTGAGTGCATGTGTCCAGTCTGTTTGAACTTCGACTGTGCCAACAACACTTGCAGTTGGGTTGGATGTGATGTCTGTTCCCATTGGTGTCATGCTGCCTGTGGCATTCAGAGAAACCTAATAAAGCCAGGTCCCAGCTTAAAGGGGCCGTTGGGGACAACTGAGATGCAATTTCACTGCCTTGGGTGTGGTCATGCTTCGGAAATGTTTGGCTTCGTTAAGGATGTGTTTATGTCTTGCGCAAAGGACTGGGGTTTAGAAATCCTGATAAAGGAGCTTGATTGCGTTAGGAAAATCTTTCGAGGAAGTGAAGATTTTAAAGGAAAGGAGCTGCAAATAAAGGCAGATGAGATGCTCTCCAAGCTCGAAAGTAAAATGATGTCTCCTTCAGATGTCTGCAATTTCATCTTTAAGTTTTTCAAATGTAAGATTCCACACTATGGCTTATTGCTTTTACTTCCTGTTTTTGTTAGTTATACCTTATCAATTCAAAAAAGTAAAAGGACCACCGGGCCATTGGCCCAAGTGGTATGAGCTCTCCTCTCTAAAGGGGAAGTGAGCAGTTCGAGCTCCACATGGGGCAGTGTGGTGTGTGCATGATGCTTACGTGCCAAAAAAGAAAAAAGTAAGAAAATCAACTAAGTAAAAGGATGACTCCATTCAAGTATCACTGGATAGTTGAGTTTTCTTTCAACAACTGCTCTTTGTTACTTGAAGCAATTTTATTGGATATATTGATATGTCATGAAAACTTGTTTCTCACTTGTGTTTCTATTTTGCTCTAGCCTGCATATGCATGATATTTTTTGTTTGTGGATGACTTCTTATTATGGTTGTTAATCTTATCTTTCAAAATGTACTTGATGATGGTGTTGAAATTGAAGACTAACAAAATTGTACCTGCAGTCATCTGAGATGCTACTTGTATTGAATATAGAATTAATGACGTAAAGTGCAATCCCCTGAAAACAATGAAAATGGAAATGCAAAAACATGAAGCATTGATAATGTCGCCCTAAAATGAATCGACTAAATTTTAGAGCTGCGTTACATAATTTACTCTCTAATGTGAACCTGTAGGTTTTTTTGTTATTTTTATTAGTTTTATTACATAACGTATTCTTTTCATATATATATATATATATATTTTTTATGTGGACTTATAAGTAGATTGACTTTGAAATACTCTTCTTATTGCTATTAAAGGTTCTCTGTTCTTATCCAGTTTTTATTTTTTGCATCTCAAAAATTGAGAAGAAAGGATTTTAATTAAAAATCTTATAGAATTTATTATGTTATTTATGTTAATATATTAACAATCAAAATGGCTCAATTAGAGTTTTTTTTTCCCTTATGCCTCAACTTTTATCGACTCTGCATTGGATTCTTCTGGCAGGGATGGTAGTTGGTAGGTCACTGTGAATGTAAAGCACAACTACCTTTGTAAACATCTTATAATGTTTTCTCTGCAATCTCATAGATAGTTCTTAATCCTACTAACATTCAAGCATTGCTGAACATATGCGGAGTTAGATATGATTATTGCATCACTAAATTTAAGGAAGAAAACATTAGAACATTGAATGAGAATAGAGGGTTCTGCTTGTCACTTTTCGTGTCTACTAAAAGGAAATGTTTTCCAGTTCTAGATGTTTACTTTTACTGTTTTACACTACCTGTGTATATACATTTTCAGTTGAATTTAGGGCTTTGTTGGCTATAGGTTCAACTGACCTGCCAGGTACCAACTTCATTGGTCGGTTGGATACCTTTCTAACATTCAACCATCGTCGAAGTGTCAAACGTACAAATAAGCTTCATAACTGAGGAAAATACAATTCAGTCATCCTATGTTAATCTGATGAAGGAAACATAAGACCCTGGTGCATAAAAAGATAGAATGATGAAATTAGGTTGACAATTGTCTTGTGAAATATTACCAATTTCATGGAAGAAAAAGATATAAATACATAACTGGAGACAAATTTACTTTTTCTTAGTGGCTTTTTACTATATTGGTAGATAGTGAGGGTTTAGGGATGGCAACTGATGGTCCGATTCTCAACAGGGAAGAAACACTTAGAAACTTGGTTCAAATTTTAAAGTGGGGCTAGCCAAATTACTGGATTAGTTAGGTTGGGTATGACAAAATCTGGAGAATTTATTTATTTCTGAAAAGGCACATCATTTGATGTGTTCTGTCATCATGCTGAAATTCTTGGAAAGTGTAAGCAGTTCACTAATTTTGCAAATAATTGGGAGATTACTGAATTATATGTATTCTGAGATCTGATCGTGTCTGCTCATTGCAATGAGGGGTACAATTGAAAATTCATTTGCATAGTTGCATTTATTCTTTTAGGTTGGGGTGACTAGATGGCCCTCATATCTTGATACATTTGGATCTGTATTCTGACTAGTTAGGTGGTTCCATGCATTTCGGTTACATGTTCTGTAGATCATTTGAAACAAGCAACTTCTTCTCATTAATTTTTTATCTTGTGCCTCGGCTTAAGCATACAACTCCTACTTCATCCTCTGATGTAGCTCAACGGTAGTATTTCCCAGGTGTTAGTTTATATGTTCATTAGATGATTGTCTTTGGAAGGACTTTTAAAATGTAACATTTTTCATTTGCACATCTCAGTACTTCATTCGCTGAATATATTGTTTCATGATCTTGTACTTTAACTGGGATTGCCCATAAGACAAACAGTTTTGTAAGGTTCAAAATGGTCATTTACCTTAATTTGAACATTCTGACAGTTCCAAAAGATTCTTTTGTATTCAGAGGATGTTAATTATAACAACCTTTGCATGCACCAATACCACTTTCCCCTTTTGTACTTGTAAAAGATTTCTCAGCCTTGCTTTATATGAGATTGTTTACCTTGCTAGATTTCAAAATGGTCATTTACTTCATTCGCTGAATATAGTGTTTCATGATCTTGTACGTTGACTGGGATTGCCCATAAGAAAAACTGTTTTATAACGTTCAAAATGGCATTTACCTTAATTCGATGATTCTGACAGTTCTGAAAGGTTCTTTTGTATTCAGAGGATGTCATGTATAGCAATCTAGATTTCTATTATTGATTTTTGATATTTATATACCTGCTTTCCTGGTTTTATACTTTACAGAATTGTGAGGTCTAAACTCTGATGGTTTTTGTGATTAATAGACACAGATGGCATGTCAGACTTTCCAGCTTCCAGTATTGCTTCGAAAGACATGACAGCAACTCAAGCTAGCCTTAGGAAAGATGCACCCCCTCTTCCACCACCCAATGCTCTCCCTCCAAAATCTTCCTTTTACAACATGAGCTCTTCAAGTGGAAGGCGGGACTTATTGCCAAATAATCTCCACCACAACGATCTGAAAGCTTCCGTACCAGGTGATAAAATGATTGAAGATGAGTGGTCTGTGAAGGCAGGGAAAAAAGATGGATTTGACAGCTTGGAAAGCATTGTGCGGATTAAGGAAGTAGAAGCGAGAATGTTCCAGACCCGAGCAGATGAAGCACGAAGAGAAGCAGAGCGGTACAGGCGCATGGTTCGAATGAAGAGTGAAAAATTGGACGAAGAGTACGCTGAGAAGCTTGCCAAACTGTGTTTGCAGGAAACCGAGGAACGACGGAGGAAAAAGCTGGAGGAGCTTAAGATTTTGGAGAATTCGCACTGCGATTACTATAATATGAAGATGAGAATGCAAGCTGAGATTGCAGGCTTGCTGGAGAGAATGGAGGCCACAAAGCAGCAGTGGGTGTAGCCATTCAATTCTTCCCCTATTTCTTCTAATGACATTGATTGCCATCAGATAAGTGATGATGTGTATTTTGTGTAAGTTTGACATTTTGGATTCTGTTTGTTTCTTCTAGTGGAATTTGAATGTTTATTTAAGTGGTAAGTTCCCAAATTCTCTCTTTTATTTATTTATTTATTTTTATTAGTTTTATTTATTTATTTTTTTCTTTATGACCAAATGTGCAAATTCATGTTTGATTAAAGAGGCCTGAAACATTATAGCTGCATTATTTATTGCAAAGACTAACCATATTGTAATCATGTTCTGTCTTTGGTTGAATTGAAGTGATGCCACATGTACGTTATATGGTTCTTCATGTGATCAATTGATGTGGATATAGTCGATATTATTTTGTTTATGATTGCAACTTTATTTACATGCTTATTATATTCATACAAGATAAAATCATTGAATAATTTACATTGTTCGAGTTTACATTAGGGAAAGCTAAAGTTGCAAAAAAATAAATGAAAGATTGATGGAGTGCCTTTCAGTTTCAACACATTAGAAAGTGTAGAAAAGGCTTCCTAAATTAGTTGGAATACCAGTTTTAAAATCTGTCTGTCGAATTTTTAGTTGTTCTCCCAAGTATATTCAGTGGGGGCACTTGCCCCACTGGCTTCAATGTGCCTCCGTCCTTGTTCATATTAGTCATAACAAAGTTTTACGTTGGCTATCAAGTTACCTAATGTAACCCCTCTCCTTTACCCGCGCGTGGGATTCGCTGTGTAAAGAACACAGGCGGAGTTGAGATAGATGTGGGATAACACTGAAAATGATAGATAAAGTGAGAAAATTGGTTAAGATGGTTTGGACAGGTATAAAGAAGGCCTTTTAAGTGCGCCAATTAGGAGAAGTAATGTAGTGCACGACGAGGGTAATACTAAGAGGAGGGAGGCCAAAGTAAATGTGAAGAGTTGGTAAAGCAAGATATGATAGCATTTTGATTGAGAGAAGCTATGGCCTTTAAATAGAGCACAATGGAAACATGATTCATTTAGCAAACTTCAAATAATTGGGAAAAAACTTGGTTGTCGTTGTCGTCATACCTTGGCTATACATTGTCTAATCAACATTACTAAGCAAATTATCCTTAATTTCAACTGCTAATTTATAGTACATGAACATCTTTCTGCAAGATGCACAATCTTTCTACTTTAACAGATTGCTAAACACTTCCCTGAACATAAGACAAGATCTCAGCCTATCCAATTACCAGGAAGTAGAACAGTGAGGCCAACTGATACTCCAAAGAGGAGTATTAACAGCCCAGTGAAGTTCATTATGAGTGCTTCTTGGCTGCGCCGCAGGCCTAGGAATGAGAATTTCTCCACCAAACCTGTCTCTGCTGTCAATATTGCCATGAGGAAGATGACCGCGCCAATAAAAAAGTGCCATGGAGCGAGACTTGCCCTTGCAGGCATTTCTGCCCTAGGCCACAAGAAAAAGAAGAAAGCAGATAGCCACTGAAACAATAGAGAACTTATTTTGGAACATTCAATCATGTAATAGAAACTAGTCATCATTATATGGTAATGGGAGGTTTCTACCTGCAAGCCAAATAAGCCGATGGTGGACATGCCAAGCCAGGAATGCAGACTATACATATCCGGGATTCCGAGCTCATGGTGGAACTTGAAAACTGCATATATCCCCAAAATTCCAGCAAGAAGAGCTATGAAATGCAGTGTCAGGTGGAAAATTTTCTGCACCTTTCTCGTTCCTGGGACCGTCTTGTATACCATGATAACTGATACAAATCATATTTAGTCACATACATATACATATATATATATACGTGTGTGTGTGTGTGTGTTCTTGAATAATGGAAGCCTTCAGATTTCCCAAGGACACAACATACTTGCAGTTCTAGTTCCTCACTGAATTGGGGTCAAAAATCCATATCCAGGAACTGATCAACTAGAACTAATGTTGGCATGAGAATTTAACTCATACTATAAGGAGAAAGCAAGCAAATAACAATAATGATTCGAAATAAGGAAACAACTTGTTCAGGTAAGACTTAAGTCACGTAAAGCGGGGGTGGGAACGAGAGTAAATTCGAAAGCGGGAGCATGAGAGCGATAAAATTAAGTCATATATAATGAGAATTTGAGTGAGAGCGCGAGCAAAGTGTAAGAGCGGGAGCGCAAAAGCGACACATGTTGAGAAGGACTGTATGACTTAGGGCTAAAACTATGTACATTTGATCCTTTTCAGACCCGTAATAACGGAACCCTCATGAAGGGCCGACTCAACTATAAGGTGTAAAACTATGTACATTTGATCCTTTTCAGACCCGTAATAACGGAACCCTCATGAAGGGCCGACTCAACTATAAGGTGACTTAAGCGACCGCCTAAGGCCCAATAGAAAAAGAGTGCCTCATATTTATCTTAATGTATTAATTATGTTTCCTTTAATATATTCATTACTATATAAATACAACTTTATAAATTAATTCAAGTTGCGGTCCAATGAAAAAAGAGGCACTAAATTTTTCTTAGGCTACGTTTGGTGCGCGGAAATGGAATGCAATTTGGAATGGAATGAGAATGAGAATGTAATGGAATGAATATTACCATTCTAATGTTTGGTGTGATACAGTGAATCGTTATGGAATGAAATGATTATTACCATTTTATTATTTGATTGACCATCGTTAAATATGGAATGGAAATACCCTTTTCATTATTCTTTAATAAAATCAATTTAATTAATATTTTGTCTATACAATTTTATCCAAAAACAGGTTGAATACTTAACCTAAGAAGCTGATGTAAAGGCTAATATATATATATATATATATATATATATATATATATAATATGGTTGAAGGTCTGTAATTTTTTGTCAATAGCAGTTTTGGGTATATTCACAAGAGAGGGAAGGTGAAAAACCTTTACCACGTCTAATAAAGAAGCTCGAGAAACGTGAAAAATGGAATGTGAAAGATTTTTGGTCTATTCAAAATATTTTTGCCTTATTGGAATGTGATGAAGTGCTTATTGAATATTACAAAAATATTTAATCTTACTATGGAATGGAATGGCCATTTCATAGATTTAGTAATGGAATGGATTTTCATTCCATTAGAATGGTCATTACATTCCATTCTTGCACACCTAATAAATAAATGGTTGGAATGAGCATTTCATTCCATTCCATTCTGCACACCAAACGTAGCATTAATGTATTAATTATGTTTCTTTTAATGTATTAATGATCATATAAATATAACTTCTATTATATTGATCAATTTACAAGTTTTTTTCTTAAATTGAATTTTTTTTATTTCTATCATTACGACTTATAATTTTTTAATTCTTTTGCATATCAATAATTATTCAACATTTTTTTGACACTCACACATTAATTACTTACAAAATTAAATCACTATTTCTAAAGCTAAAAATGCAAATTATGTTTTATGTTTCTTTGAATAAAAAATATTAATATTATATTAATATATTAAATATAAAAATGCCTAATTTAAAAATTTTACCAACACAAAAATGCAAAGGGCAGCCGCGCGCGTCAGTAATGACATGGATAAATTTAAAAGCGGCAAATGGCTGTTGGACCATTTCAGGGAACATACGGCTTCCGGGTCTGCAGAGAAGAGTTGCTAAAAGTTAGCAATAGAAGCTGACCAAATCAAGAAAGTTAACAGATGACGAAGAAGGGACTCGGCTAAGGAAACTGGAAATAGAGATATTGAAGGCGAAGCACACTAAGGTTGACTCAATTTGATTTACGAAAATAAAGAATCAAAGAAAAGGAGATTCTTGAGCAAATAATTAGGAGAATAAGTTGATTAAGACTTCTATAAATTGGAAAATAGAAGTATTGTAATTCATTCCAAACGGTCCAGCACCACCCATAAAACATTAATCAAATTTCATTAAGTTGACTTAATGTCATTTATCAAATCCTTAATTCTTTTGTCCAAATGGCAATTTCCATTCAAAGAATATAAGTTCAGTAACTTATTTTTCTTTTGCAATACTTTAATTATGCTATTTACATATCAATCATTGTTTTTATTCAATTGAATTCAATGACAAATCTTTGATCAGATTCTTATTAGGTAAATTCAGCCAGTTTATTTCATTACATTCTTTACTTACTTTTCTTTTGCAATGCTTTAATTATGCTATTTACATATCAATCATTTGTTTTTATTCAATTGAATTCAATGACAAATCTTTGATTAGATTCTTGTTATGTAAATTCAGTCAATTTATTTCCCTACATTCTTTACTTTACATGCAATTTCCATTCTGCCAATTCTTTTAAAGTTAAATTCATTTTAGCAGTTTCCTTTACCGTGAATTTCAATACAATCAGTTTATTTCACTACATTCTTTATTGCATTTTATTTCTTTTAAGCATTACCATAAAAAGTCATTGCAAACAAGGTCGAAAAAGAATCTCGCTGGGAGTTCTTATTATTCATTCTCCCACACATTCGTCTGAAGTCAGCCACCAACCAAAAGGGATAGTTGGTGTTCAATCATATTTTGAGTATTTATACTCTGGCATGCCCGCAAAATTCATCGGTTGGCGTGAGCACAAAAAAATGCGAACAAATACATTTTTGAATAATTTTACTGCATTTAGGTTTCGTTTGTTTGAATGTAACATATTTTTTATTTTTTAGTATTTGGTTGTCGTAAAATATTTATGAAGAAAAATTATATTAGACCCTAACAGAAATAAGTTACCCATCAATTTTTGATAAGTTATTTTACTTAATCTCAACCTAAACATTTGTCAAACATTGAAAAAGTAAAAATAAAAAATATATTTTACCTAAAAAAAAAAAAAAATTCCGACAAAAAACATTTTACATCGGAGCTTTAATTTCTTACCTTCTCCTATTGGTATTAGATATCCAACTACCATTAGAAGTGGATGCAACTGTAAAAGAGAGCCAAGAAAGCAGAGTCAATTACAAACTCAAAGACATTCATATATAAAAATGATCAACTATGTGTTAAGTGAGAGCTGTATAGAAAGAACTCACATTGAAAATCTTCTGTTTGTTGTCTGACTTGAAGGCAAAGCCACCCTGGAAGTGTAGGAGCCAAACAAGTACAAGGGTTGTGCCTGCTATGGCTAACAAATGTGCCAACATTGTCACTGGAAATGCAGAAAATTGGAAGCTTGAATGACTCCTAGTTGCCATTGCACCTATATATACATATACATATATATATAGAGAGAGAGAAAGAGAGATGAAGAAAGAGAGTAGTACTCCAGCCGGCTGATCCAAAGTTGGCAAGTCCAATGACCAACTTTTGGTGTGATTTATACAGTTCTGAGATTTTGGAGGCATTCCATTAAACAGAATTGCCCGTACGGCAAAACAATGTTATTTTATGACCCATGATAACACATAATGCCTACTCATAATTAGGTATATATATACAACTACAAGTTATTATCCTACAAGTTATAAAGACTTGAAAACCATTGTTTGTCAATATATGTACGTATTTGTGCCACATATACATATATATATACATATACATATACATGTGTTAGGAGCTGAATGTTATCCATTTTAGCCCCTCTATTTACACATTTTATTCACTTAATAATAGTTTATTTGTGATTTTACATTATTTTATTGTTTTTTCTTATTGCAGGGTTTTAATTGTAAAATCAGTCAACACCAGTAATTCTAAGCTTTAAAAGATGACGTTTCATGGGACCGAGCAATGTTAAGATCCAAGTCTAATTATACTTAGAAAATAATCCAAAAGAAGCCAAAAGTTGATGAGAATGGAAAGAAGATGTGAGATTTATATGTACCATTCGCAAGTGCACGAATCTTTGCAGATAGGGTTTACTTGTAAGGGTGTCGTACCCAACGGACTTGTATAAAATAAGTTTGTCAACAGATTTCTTAAATTCTAAATTAACTTGAAAGTAGGATAATCGAATTGTGATGATTAATTCTAAATTAACTAAGTCGAAAAATAAAATAAACTAAAGAACAATGATTAAATAGGAGGTAGAAAATAGAGAGAGGACTAGGGGTATGATTTCACCACTAACATCGCACCACCAATCAATTGCATCAATTTATTAGAGATATTTCATATAACATGCATAGGGAATTAATCATGGTTACAAGCACATATTAATTCAGCTAGAAAATAATATAACTTAAAGCTAAGCATGGACTATCTTCGATTGGTATAAACCATCTACCTATCTACTTTACTCTAGGGTGTAGCATGGTCTATCTTTTCTAAGCATAATCCACCAAATCTCTAACATTATATTCAGAGAAATACCATTGTGTAATCATCTTATTCACAACTACAAGAAGCGAATGAGTTGTGTTCAATCACAAGATTAAAATATTTAAGACAAGATAGAAAAATATTTATATTGAATTAAAACTTTGAAACCGATTCTTATTGAAAAGTCAATTAAAAATCATATAGATTACACAATCATGCATGATAAAAATTGTTCTCCAATAATTAAATACAATCAAACCAGTGTGCTAAGTTAGGGCTACATCACAACCCTAGCAAAGCATTTAGCCAAGCATGACTGGAGTGGAATTCTTCATGGTTGAGGAAGATATCTTCACCACCATGGATCGATCTTTTCTTTCTTCTGAATGCTTCTCTTTGATCTCAGCCTCAAGCTCTTCTGTATCCTTCAATTTTGTAGAGGACCCCCTTTAAATAATAAAAGATCAGCTCTAAAGTTCTCTTTTTCATATAGGAGACATACATAGAAGTTTTGTCAAATAAGGACTCCAAAATTCGTATAAACTTCCAGGATAATTTTGACAAGGTAAACTGCTGTTTTAGGGAATCCTCATGAAATACAAAATTGTAGCTCTACGAATTTCCTTTTAACCTACATAAGAATTTAGCTATTTTGACACTCGAGGAGAGAGATACGGCCAGATTACCAAAGCGGGTTCAAGTTACCAACTTTGACGAAAGTTTCCTTTTTGGAGAAGGATCTTTCCTTTTCTTCTTCTTTCCATTCTAATCAACTTGTGGCTTCTTTTGGACTATTTTCTAAGTATAATTAGACTTGGATCTTAACATTGCTCGGTCCCATGAAGCGTCATCTTTTAAAGCTCAAAATTACTGGTGTTGACTGATTTTACAATTAAAGCCCTGAAATAAGAAAAAACAATAAAATAATGTACAATCACAAAAAAAGTATTATTAAGAGAATAAAATATGCAAATAGATGGGCTAAGATGTATAACATTCAGCCCCTAACACACCCCCAAACTTACATATTGCTAGTCCCATAGCAATAAAACTAAAGCAAACATAGATGCCGCTTTCGTGGGAATCACGATTTGCATTTAGCGTATGCAACAACCCTTTTAAACCCTTAGGTTACCCCTAGTGGATGAGTGAAGTCTCATGAGGGTTTTCAGAGATGATACCCACAAACATACAAAACAATTCAATCATTTGGCAATCAACTTATTCTCATATCATCACAATAATCAAGGGAAGACTACACAAAAGTACTCTAAAAATTATTATCTGACTATACTCCTTAGTCCCTATTTTCATACTTCACCTCAATGTTTTCCACACACTTATATAACAAGAATTACAGCAAAAATTAATCCCCGATGTTGTGAAATTTGTGGACTAGCAAATCACCTATATAGTAATGTCTTTTCAATTGAACCCAACTTCTATAACTTCAATTCCTCAGATCCCTTCTCAAATTATTTTCTATAGCAAAATATTATTTATTTATTTATTTTCTTCATGTGAACACTCTATGCATATGAGACATGAGCCCCGATTACTCCATGAAAGGGTTACGAAATTTATTTATTTATTATTTTTTTTTTCCTTCTTCTTCTACTATTGTAATAACCTTCAAAGTTTACCAATTCGTATCTATCCATAGTCATCAGAATTCAACCAATAATACAAATAGCTATAGACAAAATTCTAGTGTGTATGTGAAATTCATTAGGGACCGACAATTACTAAAATTCCTATAATACTAGATAGTGGATCCTACATAAAATAAAGCACGAAAATTAGAGATTCAAGATGATCTCAGAAAAGAATTTTAAAAAATACTTAAGTGTCTTAATCCCCCCAACAATTCTCAAATACTTGAATTAAAGTCAATATGTCAAAACGAAAGAATTGAATTTTCTTTTCTTTTTTGTAATTTTTTTTTTTTTTTTTTAGAAAAATATTTAACAACTAGAGTATTTTAATACAACTAGAGTAAATGCTATGCCCCCAAACTTGAATTGGACAGCGTCCTCACTAGGCAAAAGAAAATGGAGTCACTTAATAGGATAGCTAATCTCATAACTAAAAATAAAAAATAAAAACAAAGAACGAAAGCACTTAACAGGATAGCTAAAATGGAGGTAGTGGAGCATCGGGATTAAGCCATTATGAGTCATAAGCGCACGCATCATATCCATCATTGATCTTTGATCCTGACGAATCATCCTCTGCTCCTCAAGAATCGTCCTCTGCCCCTGATGGATCTCTTGAACTTCAGATCGGAGTTGGGTCACCTCACCAACCAAATAGTCATAGGGATGCTCATCAGCGTCATCCTCGTCATCACTGGCGGCCTCTTTCATAGGCTCATCATAGGGTTCATCAGCGGACTCATCGTCGATGACTTGTCTAGTAGTCAATTGACTTGGATGAATAGGCAAAATTTGTTCACCCATCACAATTGGGCGAGCCAGCTCTCCAGGTGCAGCAACCACCTTTAATGTTATGTGAGATCGGCTGCGATTCCAATCAACCTCACCATAACGATCATTGCACGCAGAAGAGAACTCATCGGTAGCAATAGTGTAGCCTTGAGAAGTGAGCAGTCGAATAACAAAGAATGGCAAAGGAAACTTCCAATCTTTTTCTTTTTCCGGAGTTTGCTTGATCACCAAATCATAAAATTTTTTTAAGCTACCCATAGATGATTTCTTGAAAAGATATCCAATGGCCAAAATGGATAGCATATAAAGCACACAAAAAATCTTGATAACGCTCAGACTGATGAGTAAGAGGGCACACATTATGCAAAAGTATGGCATCGACGAACCATAGGTGTAATGGCAGAGACAATTTGGCAGTAGAATTATATTTGGAGCCTGAGAAACAATTTGCAGCAAGGCAACTAATCATCAGTTTAGTGGAAACCTCGGACATCGGAGTGAAAATTGACTCCAAATTAGCCGGGCATGGATGTGGATATCCCAAAGCCATGGCAATCGTCGAAGGAGTAATGCGAATTATAGTACCATCAACGGATGACACTAGTGCTCCTCGTTCATCTGGATTGGAATAAAGATTTTGATAAAACGCCTTGACTAATCTGGAGTACAGGAGTTTACCAGCTGGCTCAAAAAGGCATTCAGCTTTCGTAAATCTGCAATGGGCCACTGAGTTTCTGGAACGCATGCATTAAGAGATTCGATATCAAAACCCACTTCATAATTAAGTTGGCGACCATGCCACCTTTCATCTATGGTATCTCGAAGAGTTGGCCGCCTCGTGGAAGATTGAATGGAGCGGCGTGTTGAAGCATTGCCTTGTGTGGCTTTCTTCTTTCTAGATACCATGTAAAATGAAAAAGAATTCTTTGAGACCTTTTATCAAACACTTGGTGGGCAGCCCCAATTCTTGCCTTGAATCTTTGATTTCTTCTCCAAATTGGTGAATGGAATAGGTATTGGGATGTGAAATAACGGTGGAGGTGAAGTTTGGTTGATGGGTTTTTTATTTGGAAGATGATGTTAAAGTTGGATAATGGGGATTGAATTCGGTTATATGGAATGATGTAAGGAATTTAAGGAGTTGAGGTAAGAGGATGGTGCGTTATGGACAGTGAGATGGTAATGGGTAGATAATTATTAGTGGGATGGAATGTGTTGAATTGGGTGGAGATATATATATATATATATATCTCCACCCAAGGTCGGGCGACGGTCGCCCATGGCTGCTACTTCTGTTTGTTGTTGTCTTCACCGGGCGATGGTAGCCTAAGTGCCGGGCGATCATTCGCCCGGACCTACTACTTGCTCCATTTTTTTTTTTTTTTTTCATTTTGCTAGAAGATAAACTTCAAACGGCCATAACTTTGTCATTGGAGGTCTGTTTTGGAAAAATCTTTTTTGATTTTTGGTATTTTGTCGAGATCTACGCGGTGCAAATAGCCATAGGCGGTTTGGTCGATGTTTGGACCCAAAAAATGCTCTGTTATGCTCCAATCAACCCATTTTTGCTTTGTATGTTATGAAATTTTTTTGTATTTTCTTCAAAACAAGCACAACTTGTAACCTACACAAGTAACTAAAAATCCTACAAAACAAATTAAATCCTTCTAATCTACTAAAACAAAAGATAAAATTAAAAAGAGAAAGAAAAAAAAAAAAAAAAAATCTTATCTACAATTCCTACATTTAACGTCGATAGGTGATGTGATACCTGGACGATTAGGTGGAGTAAATGGGATCCGTCAAAGTGACGGATTCAATTCTTTCTGTAGGCACAGAATCTTCAATGTATAACTTCAATCTTTAACCATTTACTTAGAGTGTCTTACCTTTCTTTGGGTCAAAAATGGTGATAACCCCATGAGGGGTTACCGTTTGAACTTGGTATGGACCATCCCATCTTGAGCGCAATTTCCCTAGAAATAGCTTCAGCTTGGAGTTGAACAACCAGAATTTGTTACCTGGCTCGAAAGATTTTCTCACAATGTGCTTATCATGAAACGCCTTGGTTCTAGCTTTGTAAATTCTTGCACTTTCATAAGCATCATTACGAAGTTCTTCTAATTCACTTAGCTGCAACTTCCTTTTGGCCCCAGCTTGACTTGTGTCGAAGTTCAATTTTTTCATAGCCCAAAAAGCTTTATGCTCCAATTCCACAGGTAAATGACATGTTTTCCTGAAGACCAAGCGATATGGCAACATCCCAATTGGTGTCATAAATGCAGTGTGATATGCCCATAAGGCATCATTAAGGCGCAATGACCAATTCTTTCTCCGGTTGAACCGTCTTCTCAAGGATATGTTTGATCTCGCGATTTAAAATCTCTATTTGCCCGCTTGTCTAAGGGTGGTAAGAAGTACCTACCTTGTGAGAGATGGAATATTTCTGAAATAAGACTCGAAGAAAGCGATTACAAAAATGCTTTCCACCATCGCTGATTACTACCCTTGGCATTCCGAACTGACTGAAAATATTGCTTTGAAGAAATTCGACCACCACCTTGTGATCATTAGTTGTTGTTGCCACTGCTTCTACCCACTTGGAGACATAATCCACCCCTACCAAAATATACTCCTTGCCATGTGACATCGGGAATGGCCCCATGAAATCAATGCCCCAAACATCAAAAATTTCAATAACCAGAATTGAGGAGAGAGACATCATGTCTCTTTTTGTAATGGTGCCCAACCGCTGACATAGATCACAGGCCTTGGAAAACTTGTGAGCATCTTTGAACAAGGAAGGCCAAGTTAGACCACTCTGAAAGATCTTTGTTGCTATCTTCTTTCCATTGAAATGGCCACCACAAGCTAGTGTGTGACAAAATTTCAGAACACTTGGAATTTCATTATCTGGCACACAGCGACAAATAATTTGATCTGAGAAGTACTTGTATAACTGTGGATCCTCCCAATGATAAAATTTCACTTGAGAGAAGAACCTGTCTTTATCATGTTTGGTCCAATCAGACGGAATTCTTCTGGACGCCTTCCAATTCACAATATCAGCATACCATGGTGGATTCTCCTTTTGAAGTAGAAATAACTGCTCATCTGGGAATGAATCATGCAATGGAAGAGTGTTTTCTGGCCTAAGATATGCATTCTTCAAATGAGAAGGTAACAACTTCAGCTCTACCTCTAGTGGAGATTTCAAAAGTGGCATAGGTGGTTCACTTGACAATGGTAGAAGTGGTTCAATAGAAAATTTTCATGGTGGAATGTTATGCATATTGGCTCCATCAAGAATGACATTCACTTCTTCAATGCTTTTGTCAACATCAAAGGACTCGGTATCAAAGTAAGATAGGCATGTTTCCAGTGGATCTTTTGTCAAGGCAAAGGCAAATGGGGCCATCTCTTTAACACATTCATCGATGGTATCGACAAGAAAACAATCCTTATCATCTGAAGGGTAATTACTGGCATTGAAAATATTTAAGCGCACCTTCATATTGCCAAAAGAGAAGTCCATGACGCCATTCCTACAATTTATGCTTGCATTTGCTGTCGTAAGGAAAGGACGACCAAGGATCACTGGAATGTGCCTCATTGACTCTAGAACTGGCTCGGTATCTAGCACAATAAAGTCTACTGGGAAGTAAAATTTATCTACTTTGATGATCACATCTTCGGTGACACCACGGGGTTGCTTGGTTAACCTATCTACCAATTGGAGAATAATTGAGGTAGGTTTCAATTCTCCTAATCCGAGTTGCAAGTAAACCGAATAAGGAAGAAGGTTTACACTTGCACCCAAATCTAGAAGAGCTCGCTATACTTGATGATTCCCTATTGTGCATGAAATTGTTAGAGCACCTGGATCTTTGAATTTTGGAGTAGTGCTGTGCTGGATTATTGAACTGACTTGCTCAGTTAATAGCACCTTCTTAGGAACATGGTTATTTGAACACCTCTTCTAAGTACACATATCTTTCAAAAATTTGGCGTAAGCTGAAATTTATTGAATTACATCAAGCAATGGGAGATTAATCTTCACCTGTTTGAATATCTCCATTATATCCTGAAGTTTGCTTGCTTGCTTCGCTGCTTTTGATGTTTCCTGTAGTCTTTGAGGGAATGACACAACTGCATGCCTCTACTCAAGAGATGGCTCAATAGTTGGAGGCACTTCTTGTGCTTTTTCTTTACGCTCCTTTTTCTCTTCAAGTCTTTTCTTCCAATTTTCATCTTTCTTTGCTTCCTCTTCTTCCACTTTGTTTTCAACTCTCTTACCACTCCTCAGAGTAGTAATTGTTTGCACTTGTTCATGGTGGACTTCTTGGTTAGTAATGTCATCAATTATACGCACACCTCTTGGATTAGCCACTAGTTGACTAGGAAGTTTGCCATCCTCTCTTCTGTTCAAGGCTTGAGCTAATTGGCCAACTTGAGTCTCTAACTTGGCAAGGGATTGAGAATGAGACTGCACAAGTTAATTAGTTGGCTCTAACTGCTTTGCCATCATTGCCTTGAGCATTGATAAGAATTGTTGAGGTTAACTGAAGGCATTCATAGGTGTGAATCCTTAAGGATTTGAAGTCTGAACTGGAGATTGAAAATTGCCTTGCACCTGAGGTACTTGAGGTGAAGGAGCAGATGTCCCTGTGGCTGGATTTCTCCATGAGAAGTTTGGATGGTTTCTCCAAGCCGGATTGTAAGTGTTTGAATACATATTATTCCCTCCGGGCCTTCCATATGTAGCATTAACTTTCTCTTGTGGAATTTCTGAATATTGAGATGCACTTAGACAAATGGACACATGGTGAGTTGGACTAGAACAAAAAGAGCACACTTCAAAGCCTTGAGCATTAGTTACAGGAGGAGTAAATTTTGATTATGAAGTCGTCAATTGATTAACCTTCTTGGTTAATGCCTCAATTTGGCTTACTAGCCCTTGATTTATTCCTGCTTCATTCACACTTTCTGCTCTCCTCAATATGGTATGAGGTCTAGCTATTGGAGTTAAGACATATTGTGTAGAATTATCAGATATATTTTCGAAGAGCTGCCATGCCTTCTCTACACTCTTCAACATAAAATTTCCACCACAAGAGGCATCCACTATATATCTTTGTGCCTCATTGAGTCCCTTATGGAAGAAGTTGACAAGCTACCATTTTGGCATGTCATGATGAGGACACTTCCGAAGGAGGTCTCTGAATCTTTCCCAAGCCTCATGAAAAGGCTCTTCAGGCCCTTGAGCAAAACGAGTAATAGCATCTCGATATTGAGTAGTTCTCACCATGGGGAAGTACTTGTTCAAAAATTTTTGTTGTAATTCAGCCTATGTAGTGATAGAGTCTACTGGCAATAAATTAAACTAGTCTTTCGCCTTGTCCTTTAATGAAAAAGAGAAAAGGTGTAGCTTGAGCACATCATCGTCAAAGCTCTGGATCTTTATTGTTCTGCACACCTCTGCAAAGTCATCCAAGTACCGGTATGGATCCTCTTTTGATAGGCCGTAAAAAGAAGGTAGTAACTATAATACCCCTAATTTTAAAAGGATATTCATGGTATTTAATTTATTATTTAATTGCATTTTATTTGATTATGTGTCATTTTATTTGATTAGTTGCTTAATTATTTTATATTGTGATGATTTAATTGACTTAATTGATTTATTTTTAATTATTTAATTGGAATTACTTGTTTAAGTGTTTTTAATTATTTAATTGGATTATTTAATTGAAATTAATTTTTTAAGTGTTTTTAATTAATTAGTGGGATTTTAATTATGTTATTTTAATTAATTGGATTTTAATTATTTAATTGATTTCTTAAGCTAGGGTTTTAGGTTTGAACGTAGCCGACTTAGGGTTTGGTGTGGGGTTTTTGTCTTAATTTTACATGGAGTAGGATTGTTGTTTAGAGCTTATAAATACATAAGAATACTAGGGTTTAGGGTTTTTAGAAAACGTAGCACAAGTCTGTAAACAGAGAGGCAGTGAAATACAGAGGGAAACAGAGAGAGATAGGAGAGGAAGGCTATGTTGGACCAAGGAGGAGGAATGAAAGGTTGCTCATTGGTGAAACCAAGAGTAACAGAGGAGGAACTGCAGTCTAGGACATTAACGAAACTTTCAGAGACTGTGGAATTAGAGTTTCAAATCTGAAGCTCAAGGCAAGTTCTGTTCTATTCTATCCCTTTAATATGTGTTCTGTGCATGCTTAGATAGACTCCAGGGATTAAGCTAAGTCTTAATTACATCTTTTATGCTTGTTTAATCTGTGTTTAGAATCATTGAATTAATTTGTTTTTCAATTGGTTAAAAGTTCAGTTTTAAATTTTGTTGCCAATGCTTAACAACTTGCATTTAAAATCCAAGTCTTGGTTGTATATCATTGTCTTATGGTTAATCTGGAACTGGGATGGACCTTAAAATATGTAAGAATAATTACTATAGAGGCCTGGTAATTACCGGAATCGGAGAAGACGAAGATGAAACGGACAATGGCTGCTAAGGGAAGGGAGAGCAGGCTCCCAAATCCCTTAGAGCTGGCTCCCAAAGAGGTGGAGCCGGCTCTTGGTGTCTTGAAGCCAGCTCTAAGAGCCTAGAGCCAGCTCTAGGTGAAAAATAGAGCAGGCTCCCAATTTTTTTTTTTAAAGGTCTGTTTGGCTAAACTGGGTTTTCTAAGGCTGTCTGTATGCCACAAAATGGTGTAATTCATTGCTAAAAACTTATAATAAGGTTGGGAAGTATGTTTACATTTAAATATTGAGGATGAAATTAATATAAGGTTAAACAAAGATCTGTATGTGGAAGATTGAACAATTGACTTGTATTGCAGACTGTTTTAGTAATGTGATGCCTTTGCATGACCTTAAATTATGAATCATATAAGCATTCTATTGTTTAATTATATCTATGCTTAGTGGGGATTAACTGATGATTAAATTTGTTATATATCTCATCTGTTAGGACATTGGTTGGAGGAGAAAATCGCATAACCTGACTTTGTCAATTTAAAGGACTGGAGTTGGATGTTTAAACTTTGTGTTGGAAGTATAAATTGGTTATTCACATGATTGATTACATTTATGCTTATTTTGAACTAAGGTTGATGGGTAGTTATCACTGTTTTGTCAACTATGGTTTATGGAGGACTGTATACACCAGTATGGGATGGTGACATACTAGGTTTGGATTAGTTCAACACTAAGTCCTACCTAAAATGGATTAGGGTGTGGATTAACCATAAAGGTTAAGTTCAAC